TTTATTTGTCACTCTTTTCTTGACCATCCCTCCTATTAGATTTTGCCATTAAAGCAGTCTTTTTTCGGAGGCAACTATAAAAAATGCAAATAAAGTAGACAAGACTAAGTCCTTTGATCTTTGAACACTGGGAAAGTGGGATACCCAAATCCCTAGTGATATGGGTATCCCTTTGCAATATGCTTGCTTGTTATCGTTTCTTTAATTCAGGGTAGCCAAATCTACCGAAGATAAGAAGGCAAAGCTAACTTACAAAGGCGAAAGTCATTCCAATGAGTAAAGGACTTAGAAATGGTAAAATGTAAGGGGTACCCAAATCCCTATAGTGATATGGGTATCCCCTTCTCACAGATCTGAGTGTTTGTTTGTTATCGTTTCTTTAGTTCAAGGTAGCCAAATTGACCGAGGATTAAAAGGCGAAGCAAACCTTTTTACCATCGGTCGATTTGACTACCTTGAACTAAAGAAACGATAACAACCAAACATATTGGAATATTGGCATTTCTATAGTCCTTTCCTCCCTTGAAATTGCCTTTCCTCTAGGTAAGTTTGCTTTGCCTTTGTATCTTCGGTGGATTTGGCTGCCCTGAATTAAAGAAATGATTACAAGCCAACACTTCGGAAGGGGATACCCATATCACTAGGTATTTGGGTTATCTACTTCTATTTGTTTCCCTATATCCAAAGATTAGCCTTGTCTACTTTATTTAGATTTATTTTGGTTTCGTCTCCGAAACAAAAAACTCCTTTAATAGCAAAGAGAATTGCTCGCCGGCAAAATCTACCAGGAGGGATGGTCAAGGAAAGAGCGACACACAAGCCTAAGACAAAGTTTATTTCTGACTGGCAACATACACAGAGGACAATCACAGCTTGAGACCTGCATATTGCGTGACGACCGCATCTCAGTGTGTTCGTTCGCATGTTGACTAAATTCAATCACCGCACTATTCGAGGTTAAACAAGCGCCTTTTTTGGTTTAAAATAATGTGCATTTCAAAGGTTATCGATAGGCAACACGCACATGTTTGTAAAAGGACCTTTAGCGCGTGAATCCGGTTTTATATGTCGTTATAACTGCGGACTCGGATAAGACAGTCTGTTAGGAATTGCGACTATTTTAAGAGACGTATTGTGTTTATATCTAGCAAAAGAATGCTTTAGTTTATTGGGACAAAGCTTCGTAAAAGATAAATTAATGGGTTTTGAGCAGAATTGTGGATGATTTCACTTGCCCCAGTTTTACGCTTTCAGTGTTTTGGGTACCCAAAACACTAGGGATTTGGGTACGGGGGTGCCCAAAACACGGGGACCCAAATCACTGTTAGGATTACCGAAGATCACTGGGCTTCTAGACCTACTAGCGCCGTGTACGGGACACTGACCTCATCATTCTAAGATGTCATTTTAGGCGAGCTGTTGGATGAAAAGAGGCTTACCCCCTGGACAGACCTCTTCTGGATGATAGCATCCTAATTTGGATGTCCACTTGCAAAAACCTATCATTGTGGTCAACTATATTCAAATATCCAATTCCTATCTTTTTCTCATTTTCTCTACAAACACACCACTCATTTCATTCCTAATAAGACTTGTTGCCACGACGAGTCTAAACTAGAGGCAAACGAGGAACAGCAATGATATGACGTATATTTACCTTTACGTCTCGCTTAATCTCTGTAGCGACTAATCCTAAAGAAAACACACTCTTCATAGTTTGGCAAATGCTGATTTCAGGGGCACCCAACGGATCGTTTCGGTAAATTATCTGTTCGGAAGACCTTTAATCCCCTCTGATTTTCTTAAGAGAATTGTCACCTCGTACTTTCGTGATATGAGAAATTTAATGTCTGTTGTTTTCGAATTGTAAAAAATGTCGTTTTGGGTGCCGAAAAAATGTCAGCTATCATTTTCGGAAAGGCGATAAGACCTAAGGTTTTCGGGAAATGGACAAAAAAGCCCTAATAAATTCGAGAATACTCAAGTTCCCCTATAG